ATCGCGGTAGTTCTCTTTGAAATCCGTGCGTATTGTTCCTAATTTGCTCCCATTCATTCGTTTTTTCGGTCGATAATTGAGTATCCCAATCGTATTGTTCTTTCCACAGTTGCTGAAGGAATACCCGTGCACTGTGAAGCAGTGGAACGAACCATCCCAGTGGGTCGTAAACCGTCGCTATTGCACTAGTTATTGTCCGCTTCGTTATCGGTGAACGCTCAGGAAGGGAGCAGGACAGGCAAAACATGTCCGTCATAGTGTCCCAATGAACACCGAGAACTTTCAGGTTCTGCATGTCCGCTTTATCTATCGTGTCTATTGTTTCCAGTACCTCCTTATTGTTCGAAGCGAACTCACGCAGATTCATTCCGAGCTCACCAAAAATCTTCTTCGACTTCTTGTAGAATTGAACTGCTTCTTGGTATGTGTCCGAAGTCAGAATGAGATTATCGACATAGATGTTGGCTTTGATCTCATCCGACAGCGGATCCTCGACATATGTGTCGAGATGATACCTCGTTGTCCCGCTAAGAGGAATGGGGAAGATTTAATCCCAAACGTGACTCGGGTGAAACGGAGTACGAGGATATTGTCTTTCTCTGGTGGCTTCTTGTTTTCAGCTTAATCTTCACTCAAGAACGAAAGTAGCAAGAACATGTAGTCGCACCAAGCAAACAAAGAGAGAGTAGAGCATTGCCGCGCAACGCAGTCACAAAATGAGTCGGTGGAGCCAAACTTCCGTGATGGCAGCACTGCCTAGACTACCACCTGGAATTGCTCTTGCTGCAAGGTCCTTGGAAAGTGAAGGGAACAAGGACATTACTGCCCAAAGAGTTCCCCTTGATGAGTGTGTTGATTATTCTTTGAGACAATTAAAATTAAACTCAACGCAACATGCGACCTGACGGAGAGCGCTGCTTTTGACAATCGAGCAGAACGAACACGCACCCATTGTCGCCAGTATTTCGCAACGCTTTTAGCAGAAAAAACCAATTTAGCCGGACGGTTTCTTATGAGTTATTATGGACCATTATTATTACACTTTCATATTACATGGTGATTGTTAGATTATGAACTATCCGATCCCCATGTCACCTTTCACAGTTAGTGACGTTGATATCAATGAGTGCGATAAAAGTATAGAAGCAACCAAGACCACTGCAGGAGCCACTTTATTACTAAACTCGCCGTGACAGTAGCATGGAGTAGTAGTAATAGAGTCAATTTGGAGTGTGCTATCGAACGATGATTCAGGAAAAGGATATGTTTCTCAGGCCGGAAGGCAAATGATTTTCTCAATTTCTACTGCATAACTGTCAACATAAACGATCAATATAGAATGACCCAGTA